CAAAAGATAAAAAATTCCTTTGTATAAAATAAACATGGATAAAAAACTTTAGCTGGTCACTTAGCCCTCTGCACATGCTTAACACCAATGTATAAAATTCCAAGATGCCAACTGGTGGTATCTGTGCCGACTTGCAAACACCAATGTAAGATATATTTAGCTGTATTCGCACAACAAATTTCAATATTAATCACAGAATGCTATTCTGAAAATTTTATTATCAAATAGAGGAAAGGAATGAACCTCTTATATAGTTGTATCCTTCTGTTTTCCCCGGAGGAACTTTGCTGCAGAGCACAATATTATCTGCAGTCAAACCTTAGATGAATGGAGTTGGTAGGAAAAAAAAAACGGTTGTTTTCATGTATGATTATTAATTTGTTTTGAAGGCATGCTACTTATATATTGAAGTTCATATGCTACTAGCACAAACTTACCTGTTGATGTTGTGGAAGAGATTGTATGGTATCAACTACTGGTGATCTAAATGTCTTTGACTATGCAGCAGCCATATGATCAATCCTGACCTGAAATGTGACCTAAAACATGTAAGATATTTGATATTACTTTGTGAATAAACTCAGTCCAGCACATACAGACCTATAGTATCATGTAAAATATAGATTGCTGAGAACACGATTTTACCACATTGGACATTTGTTAATGTCATGCTAAATAGCTAGGCATGGATTATGAAAACATACAGTAATGTTTTGTTGTCTTTTGCAGGCTTCAAGGTCTTGTGGTGTCTGTTGATCAGTGGCCTCTCCCACTGATGAATTCGGGCTGCTTGACGATTCCCTCATCTCTGCCTCTAACATCTGCACTGCACTCCTGGTAAAAACGGGAAACTTTTGAGTAGCACTGTTATATCTCAAGGGAGATTTTTAGCTGAGGGAAAGAATGCAATGAAACGCTGACCTGCATACAGAAAGTGCTTTCCTCATATCTCCGGATGCAGCTGCAACTTTCTGTGATATCTCAAATGATCAGTATCTGATTACAGTCCCTCAAAGAAAGCACACAACGATATCAATTGAAAGCATGAAGTCAACATTGATGACTCACTCTGGCACAAAGCTCCAATGCTTGTGGTTGGAATACAACATAAGGTAGTGCCTGATTAAATGGAACAAAATTATTAAACTAATAGTACCACACCAGAATACCAAACTACAAATGGATAAAGCAAAGCAATTGAAAAGCAAAATGGAAAGGTAGTTACTACCATGAGCCTCTCCCGAAGAATTCTAAGGATCTGATCTTTAGAGTAGGCACGGAAGGTTACAACCAAAGGTTTACCTGGAAATCATGAAGCAAACTGTTAGTATCATTTCTAGCTGCCAAGCTCTTCTTATCGCATTTCCTTTTTGCAACTAATTGAAGGGAGACAGTTTATGGTCAGGAACACCTATAGCTGAACAATTAATGGTCAATAACTTCAAGAACAGAACTTACATGTTTGCAAGAAAGGAAACAACATATGCATTATAGATGCTGAACATTACACAAAAATAAAAAGGACCCAACACAATTATTAAAGATGCTAAACACTATACATGTAACAGTTCCAGGTAAGAGAAAGTGCTGAAGGCAAATCATTTTAAGGACAATAATGTGCTCACAATTCAATTACTGGAGTCTTGGAAGATGTATTAAAGATGCTAAACATGATACATGTAACAGTTCCAGACGAGGGAAAGTGCTGAAGGCAAATCGTTTTAAGGACATTAAGACCCGAGCTTCCTTTTACACCATTGTGGAAATTTAGTACCCAATCTTAAATTGGGATTTCTATTAAGACCCAAACTTCTTTTTACACCATTGTGGAGCTAATGTGGATAATTTCTCCTCCTTTTTTTTTTCCCTTAATATAAATGGATTTTTGAAAATGATTATTAAAAAAAAAAAGAAAGTAAGTCTCTTGTTTTGTAATTCAGATCATTTTAAACTGTAAAATAAGAGTTATTGAATCAAAGAAAATCTAAATATTAAAAGATCCACCCACATTTAATAGTTAATATTATGTAATTTAATATAATCTGGATTACAAAATACTTTTTTCAAAGGAAAAAAACTATACTACTACTTTACTACTCTAATAATAGGATTAGGACTTATGGTAGAAGATTTGAAACTTAATTTTCATGAAAAAAAAAGGGTATTTAGGACCAAATAAAATCTTCATGCACAATACCCAAATACACTTTGAAAGTTAAGTACCGAGGATGAATTCACCCAAAAAAAAGAGATAAATTTACTTACAAAATTTTTAATTTGGATAAATCATTCCAAATTTAATGTGTAATATCATTTAATGTCAACAATTTATTAATTTGTTGAGTCACTGATAAGTTTATTTTAATGAATTACTGTAGTAAGATCATGTCATAAGTTAAATTTAAAATAATTTATCTAAATTAAAAACTTTATAAATGAATTTATTCTCCTCTTCTTCTTTTTTTGTTTATTCATAGATGAATTCATCGCTTTCCCATAACTTTGAGATTGAATTTGGGTATTCTGCCATTTCCCTCCGAGGAGTAAGGACCAAACTGAATGTTTTCTCTTTGTTTTCTCTTTCCCCAGTTACCTGTGCAAGATTTCAACGGGGACAAACAAATGGAAGAGTTTGCCAGTGAGGGGATCGGTCTGGAGCCCAAACAACCCAGATGCTGACTTTTGCTGCTTTTTGTCATTTCAAACTGGGCCACTTGTTAGGCCCAAAGGTTAATGCTCGGCTCCCTACCGACCGAATCTGCTGCTCTGTTTTTTCATCTGGTTTGGAAATTTTTATAGACCTTTTTTTTTTCTTTCCAAAATTTTGGGCCTGATTTTGAATTTAGTTCTTTTTCTATTGGACTGGACACTGTCTGGAGTCTTTCAAGAAGAAGCAGCTTGTTTGTTTAGCCTTGTA